TAAACACAGGATTCATTGACCTTATTATAAAAAAGATGGTAAAAAAGCTGGCAAGAAAAGCATGGCATTTTGAGTTTTATTTTTCCCCTGGGAAATTTAACTTGATTGATCCCAAGAAATCTAAGATACTGTAGTATCTGTTCTTAATGGAGCAAATCAACAAGTGTCAACTTATGGAAGTTACCACAGAATAAATTCAGGCTGAACTAGAAAGTTTAAGTTCTTCTAACATAAGCTATTTCTATCTAGTATAGCAAAGGCACTTAGAACATGGTCCTGTGTCAAATCTTAAGGTACAACTGATAACATGCTGTTAAATGCTTCCACATGCACCTTAGTACTTGTTAAACCTGACTGCACAGTTAAAATCCTTGGATCTAGTGGCCTGACTCCATGCTGCACAAATGAAATTTTCTGGTGGGATGAAACATTATTTATCAAGATCTAAAACTGACAGTATGTAGTCAGCATTTAAAATCCTGTCCCTCCTTGCTTGGACCTTATAACACTACTGCAAACACTTATGCCTGTTTAACAGATGAGTCTACAGAAAAATAAATGACTTGCATAAGGTCATAAAAAGTAATGAGTCTTCTAAGTCTTATCCTTATATACACTATGCTTATATGAGATAGGCCCAAATTTGCAAATAAGGTATCTTTCTACATTTAAAAAAACATGTAGAATTGGGAAAAACATTCAAAACCTTCAAATATTTGCCAAATTTGAGTGAAGGTGAATATCAGACCTCAAATTAGGCAATCCTAATAAGTTGAAACTAAATGAAGTAGACTACTCATTCAAGTAGGTAACCTTTCTTCTGTAGTAGGATAAAGGTGATTGTAAGAACAAAAGCTAGGTTATTTTTATTGTGGGGAGTAGTAAACAACACATAAACAAATGATGCATGAGCCTGTTAAAAAAAAGTCTGAGGTGTCATCCGTAAATTAGAAGTCAGAGAAAGACAAACACTGTGTGATTTCATCCAAATATGGAATATAGAGAAAACAAACAGATAAACCAAATAAAACAAAAATAAACTTTTAGATCAACTAGTGGTTGCTATAATGGAAGGAGTTGGGTGAATAAACTGGGAATGGTAGGGTGAAGGACAGTAGGGTTGTTTAGTGGCTAAATCTCATATATTCACATGTTGATTCTCAGTGATGAACACCTGAAGCTTCTATCATGGTATAATACAATGTTACTTCAATTAAAGAAAAAAAAGCTGTATCTAATGGTGAAAATCAGGAATTGTCAGGGTAAATGTTCCTTTAAAAATTATGTATCCACATTAAAGATATAAAAACAGAGTGACAAGGAGGAATGAACAGAAAAGAGAACAAATCACAGAAGACTTAGCAAATAGACTAATAATCATCACTACTCTTGACAACAGTCAGGAGCAAAACTGCCACTCTCACCCCCAGAATAGTGGCTGGAGGAGTTTGCTGAAGACATTGAAGCAAGGTGAGAACTCTCAGGTCAGTCTCTGTTACTACTTACAACATTTTCTTCAACTGTCCTCATTTTCTTTTCAGTATAACAAACACTAACTTCATAAAACAGATCTCATGAACTTACCAGTACAAGCAGGGTGATTTGTAAAACCGTCAATGTTTTTGGCTCATTTCACTAATTTGACAGCCCAACTAGATAGTCACACATTATACTACAAAATCGGATCTGCTCACTAGCGCAGCCAGAAACATGTCTGTCTCCCGTGCTACTAAAGCTAATAAAGTCCAAAACAATTCTCACTCATTCCCTCTTTGCCTCTTTATTTTGCTTCCCCACCCCACTTGACTATCAATTAATCCGTGAAAGGAATCCAGTGGATGGCAGCCCAGAGAGCTTCCTAAAAGAATCATGTGCTTAAAGGTTAAAATAAAGAGAATATTTTAGAAAATGGTTCTTCAATAGCTGCCTTAACAACCTCCTCCAATGTGCCACAAAAAAATACCCAACAAAGAAGAGGAAATTCAGAACAGGACTTTGCAACCTATTGCAAAGTCATAGAGGAATTCTATTAAATACAAATCCATGGAGCCATAAAGAGGAGCATGAAGTTATATGATGGGTGTTTTACTGACCAAAGTAAAGAAAATTTAACAGCCTCTCTCTAACCCCAGTTCCCAAATGGCAACAGATCAAGAATCAGAAGAGATGAACATGAAAATGGCCATTCCATCCATGGCAGTAGGTAAAAGGACCCTTATAGGGAGATTGTTGGTTTCATATTCTCCACCTACGTAAAGTGTCAGAGACCTAGGAGAATAATAGGAGAGGCTCCCACTTTACTGGAACTTCCAGAATTGAATACCTCTGGTCAGAGACAATGGAGCTGATTAACAGGACCTCCACGTGGATTCTACAACATCCAAAATAATACCAAGCAAGGACAAATAACCTGCTATGTTATTTTTAATTATGATGATGTAATACATTACATATAAGTAATAAAAAAAGTTGAATGTCTTATCAGTCTGATAAAAATGGAGATGGGATAGAAAGATTTTAGGAAAATTAAAAATGTAAGAATAAAACTCCCAGGTTGCCCACGCACTTGGGGCCCAGTCGAGGAAGTGGAGGCACCGGGAGGTCAAGCAACGTGTCCAAGCTAACAGCGCAGTGAGGATGCCGTCCAGCCACTGGGAATACAGAGCGACACTCTTAGCCTCTGCGCCAGACTGCCTCCAGCAGAAGTATTATTGAGTTTCTTTGAAGAAATGAAAACAAATGGAACTGAAGCAATAATCAAAATCATAACTGAAGTAAACTTTCCCGAAATGAAAACAACAGTTCGGTATATGGATCAAAAGGACTTACTGTGTTCCAGACACAATTAATGAAAATAGACCTGAACAAGACATAACTTAGCAAACTGAATTACAAGAGCGGTTTATTACTGCTATGGCTGCTTCTCTGCTACTGCTGCTGTTGTCCTTGTTAGTCCAAGCTGTTGTTGTCGTCTCTAGTCCATGCTCCAGAGCAGGACAAAAAGAAATTAAGATAAACCTTGTATGTACTTATCCTGAAAGTAAACTGAAAATGAAACTGTACAGAAACACACCACACACTCAATCTATATGGTAAGATTTAGAACTCAAGCATAGGGAAGCCATGAAATAAAATGAGGACCAGCTGAATAAACAGAGAACATGTTAAGCAACTGCTAGAATAATGACTTTAAAACTGAATACAAATACCAAACATCACCCTTGAGATTGGGGAGAATTCTTTAATCTAGGTATTAAAATATGCCAAAGAAAGAAAAATCACAACTATTTAAAGATATATTTCACTTAAATATCTGGAGTTTATCATATCTTTTTTTTTTTTATCATCACTAACCACTTTACGAGATCATTCTGTTCTAGCCACGCAATTTTCATAATCCTCACTAGTCCGTGGTAAGACTGGCTTCCACAACTACATACACTGAAATATTTTCAAAACTACCAATGCTAATAAAATGAGAAAACAATTTTTAAAAGTGTACAATGGATCTGCACCAAAATATGGCAGTTATAAATTCAAGTAAAATAGAAACACAAAGTTGTTTGCCAAGAAGTGTACCAAGAGATAGCTGAACACCACTTTATTATTCACCAGACACAGTTAAAGTACCGTACATCAAGTACTTCTTCAACACTTAAAGTCCCAAAAATTCCTTGCAAAGTATTTTACTAAAAATTCTTTATTAATTAAAAAATGTATACTCTTTTAACATATAAGTTCAATTAATTTGTTACCAATCCAGAAGAAATTGTTCATCTTTAAGAAAACAAAATGATCTTTACAGATACATGAACACAAAAAATACCTCAATAGTTTGGATTAATTCTCAAATTCTGCACATACCAAATCCTCCATGATCTTTTTGACAGTCTTATCCATTTCAGAATTTCAGAAAGTGCTGTAAAATTTGACAATGCTTTTTGAAGTGCATTGAGTGTACAATTATTACTTCAAAAGACTCTTTGGGCACTATCTGGCTTAGATATATTAAATACATTCTGAATGTCAAGAGGACTTCATTTTTCTTTTTTAAAGAGATTAAATGGGTATAAAATCTTTTACATTGAGTACACTGTTTTAAATTTACTCATCCTAATGTACCATTTAATTTATATCACTTAAAAAAATACAAAATTAGATCAGGATATCTGCTCTATTCAGTCAGGAATATGTTAAAGTTTTGTAATGACTCTTAAAGCACTTTCTTCTTAAAACTGTTATTTTGGAAAAGCAGCTTAAATACACTGTGCATTAGAATTTTATCACTGCAAACCAACATTAGAAAAGACTTCCATCGACTGAAAAACAAAAAAGACATTCTTATAAGTGGAAAATCAATCACCACAACCACTAAATGTCACAGCTCAACATCAGCAAGAAGCACTGATAATTGTTAGTTATACACTGCACAAATGATGTATGTCCTCGGTCAAGGAAGTAGGTGCCAGGTTTTTAGAAAACTGTACATATATTGATTTTACATTTATTTAATGTGGCCATTGTAAGACACTTTATTCTTCTGATAAACTATGATTGCTTATCAAAAGATTCTATAATTCAAGAGAAACATTCATAACTTGTGTGTGAAAATGAAAACCACAGGCCCACAGAAATCATGCCCACAAAATCCAATTTTGTGGATTTATGGTAGAAAGGCATTAAACTAGTGTCTTTGCAGGAGCTGCAGACTAGTCACTGAAGTGTAAGTGGCACAGCAGTAATGATTAAGGTGACACGTCCCCCTGCCATAGCTGTTAATCAGCTTAATACTAGTTATATTATTGACATTCTTGTAATTACTTTTCCTAAGGCACATTTGTGAAAAATATATTTTACTTTAATTATGAGCAATAGGAAGCAAGGCCAATACTTGAAAAGAACAGTCGACGTTCTCCTAATGCAGGTACACAGTAAGCCGAGTGGCTTTTGAGCACCTGCGGTTAGGTGACATCACAGTCAAAGGGAAATCGGTGCCATACCTTGCCATCCTCTGAACACACACCCATGTGTTCGCCACTTTCATCCAGGCTAATCTGGTTTATCTTCACAGGACTCTATAAAAAACAAATAAATAAAACTTTATGAAAATGTTAACAATCACATGTCTTAGTTCTTTCTAAAATTTAAGTGATACAGGTAGTCTATTAATTTAGATGCATGAGTCCAAGGCATTTTGCTTTTGCAAATGAACATGGTGTAATAGAGCTTTGTTCTCAGACAGCAGTGAGAACAGAAGCCAAAGATTTTCACCAAGTTATGTATTTCATGGAGTTGAAGTCCCAGCTAAAATGTTATTTTTCTTACCCATTCTATGCCTCTATAGTCTACTTATGCCACATTCCTAATATTCTTTCCCAACCAAAATCCATAAACGGGACAAAATAAACAAAAACAAAAATAAAAATCAAGATATATACAAGAATGGTGCTTAGTTTGGTTAACCAGCTAATATTTTTCTTACCTTATAGATTACTAAATCAATTTTTTTTTTTTTTTTTTTTATAAATTTTATTGTTATATTCCCCATACAATTGCCGCCCCCCATTCTGACCCCAATCCCTCCCCTCCCACCCCCGCCCCCCTAAAAGTGTCTCTGGTTCATAGTTTTTTGTTGATTTTGATTTTCACTTTCTTATAGTTTTTCATTTTCCTGGTCCATTATTTAAGTTTTCTAGATTCCTGCTATGAGTGAGACCATCCGGTATTTTTCTTTTTCTTTTTGGCTTATTTCGCTGAGCATGATCCCTTCCAGCGCCATCCATGTTGCAGCAAATTGCATGTGTTTATCTTTTTTGAATGCTGAGTAATATTCCATGGTATATATGTACCACATCTTCTTGATCCAGTCATCTATTTTTGGGCATTTGGGTTGTTTCCAAAGCTTAGCTATTGTAAACAGTGCTGCTATAAACATAGGGGTGCAGGTGTTCTTTGGAATTGATGTTTCTGTGTCCTTTGGGTAAATACCTAGGAGTGGAATTGCTGGGTCATATGGAAGCTCTATGTTTAGTAGGTCCAGAAATCTCCACACAGCTTTCCACAGTGGTTGGACCAGTTTGCACTCCCACCAACAGTGCAGAAGAGTTCCTTTTTCTCCACACCCTCGCCAACATTTGTTGTTGCTAGTTTTTTTAATATGTGCCATTCTCACTGGTGTAAGATGGTATCTCATGGTAGTTTTGATTTGCATTTCCCTGATGACAAGTGATGTTGAACATTTTTTCATATGCCTGTTGGCCATTTGCATTTCCTCTTCAGAGAAGTTTCTTTTAAGCTCTTCTGCCCATTTTTTGACTGGATTATTTTCTTTGTTGTTGTTGAGTCTCATCAGCTCTTTGCAGATTTTTGTGATCAGTCCTTTATCATTAGTGTTGGGTGCAAAAATGTTCTCCCAGTTGGTGGGGTTTCTCTTTGTTTTTGTTATTGTCTCTTTTGCTGTGCAAAAGCTCATGAAGCTGGCAAGAGGGAAGAAACAGATAACATTCAAAGGAAAACCAATCAGGCTGACATCAGACTTCTCCGAAGAAACACTACGGGCAAGGAGAGAGTGGAGGGACATAGTCAACAGACTCCAAGAAAACAGATGCCAACCAAGAATACTCTATCCCGCAAAGCTCTCCTTCCTCTTTGAAGAAAGAATATGGACCTTCCCAGACAAACAGAAACTCCGGAATTTCATTGCAACTAAACCCCCACTCCAAAAAATACTACAAGGAGTTCTAAAGCCAGAACCTCAGAGCGACGAATAACAATGAAAGAAGGCCAAAAAACTAAATCAATTTTTTATTTATAGTTTATGCTTAGTACTTTCTAAGGGGAATCCACAGGGTCTAATTGATAGTAACTAATCTTGTTATCCCCCCAGTCTTTTGAAAGTTCTCAGATTTAAAGATCTGTGAAGACAAAAGTCAGGCTTTCCAATTTTGTATTTTCACACACCTCTATTTATAATATTTTTACAGTTTTCCAAATAGCCAACTGTTTTCTTATTAACATAGTCATACAGGTAGATTTTCTAATAGAAGTCAAAATTGGTGAGCAGTGACATTAAAAAATGGTAATGTCTTCTTTTTATTTATTCTTAAATAATAATGGTGTCCAACTGTCTAAACAAAACATGATAGGAAGAAGCTAGCAATGAAAAGTAAGGCTTCATCAGTTGCTTCCAAAGTTTTGGAAAAAAAGGCTTTTTTTTTTTTTTTAATAAGGTAACACTGGTTTACAACACTGTATTTGATTTAGAGGTACAGGATCATACCATTCTGTTAGCACACCACACTCCTCATCAAGGCACTCCTAGTCTTCCACCACAGTCCACTGTGCTCCCTCCCTATTATGATCGCCTCCCTGCCCTCTGCTAGCATCAATCGTATAGTCAGATTTCCAGGGTTTGTTATTAGTTGGGTTTTAAGTGACCCTTTGTTTTGTTGCTCTATATTCCACATATAAGTGACATAACCAGGCATGTCTTTCTCCTTCTGACTTACCTCACTTAGCATAGTTCCCTCCCCAGTTCTTTGGCTTGTTGATAGGAGTAAATAGAAATATACAAAACTGAACATTGGATTATTCCTCAATGGAAATTATCTCAGAGCTAGTTAGCCAAGAATCAGGGCCGACCAAAACTCCCTGGCCTCAGAATGGCTCCCGCTGACAGAAGCTGCTGAGAGAAATTCCAGTGATAAGTGTTGATTGGCTATAGAATCCTTTCTCATCTTAATCCCTAAATCACTACACAAGAAGCAATCCTGAAATGTAGTCTATGAAAACCAAGATATCACCTTAAAAGTTCCCAGAATGTTAGAAAAGGACCTTGGAGATAGATATTTGATTCATTTTAGAGGAGAATAAAGCCTAAGCCCACAAATGAGACTCACCACCGAGAAAGAATGAGCAGAGCCTGGGACCTTGAGATGGGGAAGGCATGTGCTGCCGAGGGCAGGCTGGCAGTGAGGATGTGCAACATCAAAACTAAAGGTGAACTGGGGCCTCCCCCGGTGGCACAGTGGGTTGAGTGCCACGCTGTGAAGCTGTCCACAGCCTCTGCAGCACCAGTTCGATCCTGGCCGGCCGGCCAGCGAGGGTCCCACATGGTGCAGCAGACCTCTCCTGTTGCACCTGCTGCTCCCCTCAGCAGTGTAGTTCGTCAGTCTGCATGTTCTGTTCCCCACTCTGTCTCTGGCGAATCCTCTCACCCTCCCGTGCATCTGGCCTGTACCCCAGTTCTTGTATAGATGAATAAATAAATCTTAAAAAAAATAAACAACAAAAAACTAAAGGTGAACTGGCAAAGCACTGAGGCCACCTGTCTGGACATCTGGCTGAGAATTCCAAATGCCCAGTTCTTCAGTATTCTTGGGATAATGTGTTTTCATTGACTTAATATCTTTTAACAGTTTCCTCCTTCTGATCTTTTGTGCACCAAATGGCATTTTCTTTTAATGAGTAAATACACATATTTATGTTTTATGGGAAAATAACTTTAAATACATTTAAATATTTTCCAGAATATTTTATCTTGAATGTTTGTGTTGTGTGTATGTGTCTAAAGCCATTTGGTATTAAGCAACACATAATTCATTCTAGAATGTAGATCCTGACTTTCTTCATCATTCATTCAGGACTGGTTTTCTCAGTTTTAGAACAGTTTTTATCCCCAGTGGTATACTATTTGGGCATTTCTTCAGATACCAGGATCTAGAATATCATCCAATTGAAAAGATCTATTAAGATGTTTGCAGGCAGAGAAGCAAGTTAAATAAAAAGCCAGTTTTCCAAAAGGCTGTGTTTGCTGGTTTTTTGTCCTGGACTTTTGTGGTACTGCTCACATATATATATCAAATATTTATTTTCATAGTTGAGCTTCCTCTGTCTCCTCAGGAAAAATGCCTTTTACCAAAGAGCATTTTAATACCCTTTTTTTCTCTTGGCAAATATAACCCCCACATACCTCTCACTGTATTTTAATTGGCATCAGTTCATTGGTTACAATTTATCTCTATCTCCTGCTGCCCGCTGCTCCCCTCAGCAGTGTACTTCGGTCCTTCTGCCTGCTCTGCTCCCCGCTCTGGCTCTGGTGAATTCTCTCACCCTCCCGCGCTTCTGACTGTACCCAGTGCTTGTATAAATAAATAAATCTTAAAAAAAAAAATTATAAAAAAAAAAAAAAAAAAAAACAATTTATCTCTAAATACAATTTAATAGTTGTTTTAATAGGTGTATGTAGCCTCATCAACAACAGTCTCCTAACTTCTTCAATATGGTACCATCCACATGTGAGTATTTATATAGAAAATTAAATTAGAATGAAGTACAAAGGTGTCTCTCTTTTTTTCTCCTTTACCTGATGAATCTGTCTTTTTAATATATATTAAGTACAAAATTCAGTTCCTTAGTTGCACTAGCACATGCTAAGTGCTCAGTGGCAACATGAGACTAGCAGCTTCTCTAATGGAAGGTCACAGATCACAGATTTTCACCACTGCAGAAAGCCTCTAAAACTGAACCCTGAAGCAGAACCCAATTCTTCACAACTTCTTTACTACAGCTTATATTCAGAATTGTATATTTTTTGCCACATACATAATAAAACTTTATGTAATTTGTTCTTAAGACTCTGGTATTATAAAGCTCATGTCCAGTGCAAAATGTTTCCGAAGCACATTGAGATTAGAAAGACCTGGCATCCACAGGTTGTCTTCACAACTGCAGGTGAAGCAGTCAGGCAAGGGTGGTTATCTTCACCCCACAAGAAAGAAATGAGTCCTCAAGGGTGTATGTGAGCTGACAGGAGCCACAGCACTACTAAGTGGTTAGGCCACAGTGCAAGCTAAATAAATCAAACTTCATCACAACATATTTTATTGTTGAGTACAAACTATTTGTGCCACCACATTGTTAATACAGGAGAAGGGGAGGAGTTGGGGGGAAGTTGGAGAGGGGTGAGGAATGACATACCTTCAAAGTATAGAATCCTCCTCCCCTCTGTATCTCTGTTAGCAATATAAGTATTTTTTTATTTTTTTAACTTTTTTCCTGCCAGTGATCAATTCAT